TATTTAAAATGGATGTGGAGGTGGATTGAAGCACACCTTCTTTCTACCTTAATAACTGTCCCCTCATAGATGTAGCTGAGCCCCTGACCTTTGCCCTCACCTTGCGGTAGAGTCTGTTCCAGCGGGTGAACAGGGTGTGCTTGCAGAGACGTGACGGTGTCCCTGCGTCCCGCCTCCGCCCTGTGGATGTGTTGACCGCCTCCAGCTGAGCATCGCCCAGCGTCCAGTTGACACTCACACAGGAGGCCTTCCCCGGCTGCTGGTACTCGGCACTGCTCAGCCCTACAGGAACACAAAACAGGTGAGAGAGAATTACTTTAGGTGGATTCAATCTCAAGAACGCATTTGTAAGTAAAATAAGGTGATTTTCCTGTCAAACCTCCACTCTGTTGTTCCGTTTAACCTTCTTTTACCCTTCGTTCACTCCCTCAGGCTAATGGCAGACAAGGTTTTGCAGTGCTGCAAAAAGCCGAGTCAACCTGGGTCTGAATCTGCATGGCTGTTTATCTGAAGCTTTGATATATCCTCAGAGAGGGGGGTGAACAGGAGGGCTGTTGAGCGTTTAAGCAACTTGTTCCTGCCTTTGTACGAGTTAAATGTGTTTGTATGCCATACATTTCATTTTCAGGTAAAAAGATCTCCCCTAAACTGGACTTTTTGTCTTTATTTTCTACCCTATTCTCCTTCTCTTTGTGAAATAATAAGCCTCGCTAGCAAAGCACTCGAAGCGATCAGTCGAGGAAATAGAAAGTGACAGAGGTAGAGGAAGAGAGGAGATGATTGACTGTCAAGTAAGCTGTACAAGGTTGTACAAAGTTTCTCTGTAACCATAATCCTAAAGAACCATTAATCTTACTGCAAATCAGAGACATGTTTCGACCCTTTAGGGACTCTTTTGCCAATTATTGAGTTAGCAGCTAGCAGCCGTTAGCTCACCTTGCATAAAGACTAACCCCAACGGTCTCCTACAGTGTGCTAAACCACATTGTGTTTGGTCACTGGCAATAATACAACAGAGGACATTATTAGTGCAATATATGAAGGCCTAACACTGCCAGAGACAGTAACATGAAGCATAGACAAACAGAATCTGATCGCCAAGTGCTGCTTGAACACTAAATCCACTCTAAATCTGTAAAACTGTCTTCAAAAAGGAATTTCTGTGGAGGATTTCACCTTGACTTCCCACCCAGTTTTTCATGATATCATGCTAAATGTTAAAGTACCTTCACAGAAAATGAGCAGACAGATTCTGTGCGACGGGTGAACAACAGTTGCCTCTGATCTCAGCGTCTGACAGACAGCTTGTTATAGTACAATACCTGATGTTCAATACCACGATACATGCCTGCAGATCATCTCCCTGCTTGCCACACTCATTTTCCCGTCTTCACTCTTCCATTCACCGATTTCAGCTCTTCTTTTCTGTAGCTCCTTGGAGCTGGAATGAATTGCCTGCTGCCACAGTAACAATCCTCCAAGTCTCTTATTACCCATCTCTTCTCTCTTGTGGAGACGCACCTCTTTGAACAAAAGACCTTCCTATCCATCCTGCCTTTTCCCTTTCTCTCGCTCCATTCATGGCTCATTTCACCCCTTCAAAGGACTTGACTCCTCTGTTTCTGTAATAGCCAATTTGATTTTTCCCTCATTGAAGACTTGATCAATTTCTCTTCTGGGAAGTGTTTGGCAGACATGAAAGAAGTGGATTTACAGCCTTTGGTTATGGGATTCCTAACTGTACAGTACACATTTACTAATATGTGAGGCTTCTGTACAGCCTGTGTTTAAATGTGCACATTACATCCATCCTGTAGTAGCGCATGGTTTTAAAAATGTTCCTCAGGCGTTGGAGCAGCAGTGGCGGAGTAGTGAAGCAACAGGTATGCCAAAAGGTCTGTCTAAGGTGTAGCAACATATTGAGCTTACTGAGACAGGAAGAAGAAGAAGAAGAAGAATAGGGAGGGATGAAACCTTCTTTAATGGTCACACATGCAGAGCACACAGCACACACAGTGAAATTTGGCCTCTGCTTTTAACCCATCCTAGTACAAGGAGTCTAGTACTAGGAGCAGTGGGCAGCTATTGTACAGCGCCCGGGGAGCAATGGGAGTGGGGGGGAAGGGGGGTGTCCGGTGCCTTGCTCAAGGGCACCACGGCAGGGCAGGAGGTGAACTGGGACCTCTCCAAGTAGAAGTCCCAGTTCACCTCCAAAGATGTAACTGAAAAGTTACTGGTTCGAATCCCTGAAACATTAGGTAAGAGGGTTTTCTATTCACCTTCAGCAGCACGTAATCGCCAACTGCTTCAAGCTAACACTTTAACATATACATAAAAAACAAGCAAATACAATCTCAAGAATCTAGCTTTTGTACAGGGTCAAGTGTAAGGGGTTATAATGTATCTCTGAAACAAGCAAGTCCTCAATGAAGTGCAACACTGTCATTGAACAGCCGTTATCAATGTTTCTTTTATCTACCGTTGTCCTTTGCCCAAAATGACAAAGCCCTGCCATAGTTTCTGTTCTGTGGTGGAAGTGAACAGCAGGACGAGAGTGAAGGACAGTCCATCAATGTGTTTGGCCCTCGGGGTTCAGGTGTAGCTGCTTTTGCTGAGCGTGATAAGAGCGGTCCCTGCGATCCCCGGGAATGTCCTCTAAGGGCGTTTTTTTTAAATAACCCTGGACACACAATAGCTACGGAGCTCATCAGAACCAATGAAAGGAATGGAGGAGGTGGGGGGTGGTACGCACACAGCCATCTGAATGCAAGCAAAGCTCTCTTTCCGCTTTATTCCCCTCCTGCCTTTCTGTCTCCTTCTCTTCCCCTCCGCCTGTCTCTCTCTCTGTCCGACCCCCCATCACAGTGAAAGGCTGTCTGATAAGGGCTGTGATTACATTGATTTGGTGTAGGGCCATCTCCGCTGTCTGTCCATCTTCCTCCCCCTTCCTTCACCCTTCTACCCTTCAATTGACTGCAGCTACTCGAGGTACTGCAGGTGCAAAGCTCTGATGCTTTGCGATGGGTGGACACACAGAACACACACATCATTGTGAGGGGTTTCAGAGGTTAAAGAGCATGCCTCTATCATACAGTAACATAAAGTATCCTCAACACTAAAATAAAGAACAGGAATATTCTTGGAAAAAACCCCGATATAGTCATTTAACCAACTATGTAATTACTTTGAGGTTTATTCAAGTAAGTGTAAGTAAGTATGATTGATGAAGAAATAGATGGTACTTGACTACAATTATCCAAAAAGTAACAGCAGCTTGTAATATCTGAAACCAAAAACTCCAAATTGGACGACTCAAATGACTCCATTCAAAACGCCATTGAACAAATCATGAGAAATGACTTTCAACACCAGAGGACAATCCGGTACAATTATCAATCTTGATGAGGATAGGCCTCACAAAATATTCATCCTCATGGCACCCAATTACCCGGAGCAGAGCCCTGCGACGCAAAGAGCTCCTGTGCCCTTCAAGAACTATACTTTAAACCTGATAAAAGTAAGGAAGAATGTATCAGATTTATTCAATGTGTGCAGTTTAGGGTTGATGTGATGATGATAAATATATACATGTTTCCCAGTTTGGGATTGTCACTGTCTTTGTTCTCATCAATGATCCCTAGCAACAACATGTGCCCTACATCGCTGCGTGTCTCTGCCGCGCAGCCTCTCTGACTGGCCTAGATCTGAAGTGATGGCTGACGCAGTCTCTACAAGTTGGATGTCATTCAGATCCTCTTCCAGCATTCATCTTCACAACAAACGGAAAGCCTCAGGTCTCCGTGGAGCCCCGGAGGCAGACGCGCCAGACAGCTTCATAGCTGTTGCTTGTCTGGCACAATGTAAGTGTTGAAAACCTGGACTACATCTGTTTGTTAAGAGAGTGTGTGTGTGTGTGTGTGTGTGTGTGTGTGTGTGTGTGTGTGTGTGTGTGTGTGTGTGTGTGTGTGTGTGTGTGTGTGTGTGTGTGTGTGTGTGTGTGTGTGTGTGTGTGTGTGTGTGTGTGTGTGTGTGTGTGTGTGAGAGAAGGTGATCTGTGGTGATTTATTTAATGTGGAGCTGGATTATTTATGAAAAGGAAGCTCTGAAAATAGACACTGTATTCATATGGCCCAGGATCTCTGTATGGGATGGCCCCATCTGAATACTACAGAAATGTAAAGGCAGGATGTGAATAGAAAGCACATTCTGTCATTTAGCATGTGAATATTAAAGGGAAGTGGAATATTTTTTTAATAGAAGCCAAGAAAATAATCGAGCAAGTTAGTTATCCAAGCAGTGACTTCCTGTTTAAGTTAAAAAATGTACTAAATACAGGGAAACTAACATTCCTCAAATGGACCTTAACATGTTGATGTGTTTAAATAGACAACTGTGTGCTATATTCACTTAAAAAGTATCTCAATGGTGTTTTCACAGCTTGCTTCTGCTGCCTCCATTTGGCAAAAAAAACATTTCAGTAAAACAAGGAACTGTTTTTTGTGGTTCAACACAGCATATTTGTAATTACTCCAATCAAATCCCATTTTAGAGTTTCCAACAACAACAAGTGCTACATTTTTAAAGCCAATGATCTACTGTAGCAGTGTCCCATGTACAATCATTGTGACCATATTCCCATTACTAATCACGGAAACTGACCAAAGCATCAACATTTCAGACGACACATCACTTAAATTCATGGAAGGAAGTTGGAAGAAGTTGGCAGGAGGTCATTTGTTTAAGAATTTAGCACTGTTTTCAATGTTTTCAATACCCAAATTGGCACCTTAACCATCTTGATGATTCCCAGACCCCTCCTAATAGAGACCAAGCATCCAGCACCAGCTATAGTTAGAGGTATTGTGCCACTTTCTGGTGTAAAGACTTCCTAAAGTTATTGTTTACCTAAATGTTTTCAAAATTGTACTTAAGACAGACTGTCTGTGAGTGTCGTACCGCTGAGCAGGGGCTGGTTGCGTCTGTGCGTGGCGGGCAGGGGGCCGAAGCGCTCCTGCCGCTGGTTCAGAACACGGCCCAGATGGCCAGTGTGCCGCAGGCTGCCGACGGTCACGCTGTGCAGGTACACAGGCTCCACAAAGTGGCTCAGCAGCGCCCCCTGCAGGCCCAGGATGTTCCATCTGAGGAGAAGGAGTAAACAGAGTCAGGGATGAAGCGGAATGATAAATCAGGAGAAGAAGGTGAGAAAGGAAGGAGAAGAACGTTATAAAGAGTGTTTGTGAGGATGAAATGTGTACATAAAGAAATAGGGAGGGAAGGCGCAGTTTGGGGAAGGGAGATAGAATCAGGGTGGGAAAGGAGGAGAAAGGGGAGAGATAGAAGGATATAAAAAAGAGAGAGACAGATGTGAAAGCTTCAATGACAGGTAGAGACAATTTGATCATTATCTTGATGTGGGACGTGATGAATAACAGCCACAGGACTGACGACACACACAAACATACTACACGCACACATGCACGTAATCTGACAGACACACGTCCTCTACTCCCATTTTCCCTGGTTCAGAGATACAAACCATCATCACCACCACCTACAACAACACTGCCAAAGGTCAGTCCATCAGCATTCAGTATGTGGAACAACACATTACCATATGTGCATTCATCAGTGCCATGAGGTTAATGCACTGTACTGGGCTGCAGGCAAGCTTCCGTCGATTGCTCAGTGCGAGGGGCGATCACTTCGGGGTTTGTTTAGGGAGATCCACGAGTGACACCAAATCACAGCGGGGCTAATCCTGCCAACACCGACACCTGATACTGTAGCCAGCTGGTCATGTGCCACCGACTGTTGAAATCCTCTCTATTTAACCAGCAGATGCTAATTTATGGATGGAAAATTATAATTACCGTGTTTATTATCATTTCCGCCCTTCATGGAGAGTATCAGCCTGAGCTGTGTCTCCTGTGCTGGACTAATGAACTTATGCGAGGCACAATCACAGGCTCGACATTATGCTACTCATTTTTAGATCATTGTTCTTTTTGTTAATCAATGTCTCTTTATCATGAATGCAATTACAGCGGCTGCTTGTTTTTTTGTTTGTTTTCTGTCTCTTGCCGACTTAATAATCACTCATTACGGCTTCTTTCGCTTCCCGAGCAGTCAATTAACATCAGCGGCTTTCGGGGAATCACTAAACAGGCTCATGATGCAGCGACCGCCTGCCTACGCTGTATCTGCAATCTGTCAGCAACATCGGTCCTTCCCTCTAAAGCAGAGAGGTTTGTTTTAAAAGCACACACACACACACACACACACACACACACACACACACACACACGCAGAACTTCAGTGCTCTGCAAAAACAGAAATAGTTTAGCCTGAAATATTAATTTACCCCGAAAGCGACACCGTGAATCAGAAACATCTTCTAATCTCATGCAAGAAAAGACAGCCATCTGGCTTGGGTGTGTGAAATGTAAAGAGAGGAGAGGGGAGAGACCTCTTCTCTCTCCCTCTCTCTGTCGCTCTACATCTATCCTTTCTTCCCTCCCCCGGTAAACGGCGACCATTAAAGTAATGTGTTCATCTGCATAAAACTGCAGTAGAATGGAGAACATCATCGTTATATGAAAGCCATTAAGGCCCCTCAATTAAATCCAGCTGTCGACTTCAAATCAAATATTAGCAAAGGAACCTTATCAGGCCTGGCTTAAGAAAACAAAAATAATGATCATCAGGTGTAGTCATGGCGGGGTGACACTTTATCAAAAATGTTTATGATAAGAGCAAAGATCTCTATAACTAACTATAATTTAGTGCAGGGGCTGAGGGAAGTGGGGAAATAAAAAAGTAATGGGAGGTTGCAAAATGAGAGTGACAGAGGACAAGAAGAGTATCCAGGGGATCACTTTAAGACTGCAGCTGTGTGTGTGTGTGTGTGTGTGTGTGTGTGTGTGTGTGTGTGTGTGTGTGTGTGTGTGTGTGTGTGTGTGTGTGTGTGTGTGTGTGTGTGTGTGTGTGTGTGTGTGTGTGTGTGTGTGTGTGTGTGTGTCGAGTCTAAGCTCCTCTCAGTTCCACCCTCCACCCTGACCTTGATAAACTGGCCCTTGGTGACCCACTCACTTTAACGACGGCCACCCATCATTTACAGCGATATAAAAAACGGAAAGAGGAGTCTTTGGAGCAAAAAGAGTTTGTCTGCCGTCCGGCCTGGCGGGGAGGGGATGGTGTAAGCGAAGAAGAGCAGGGTGTCCCTTCTCCCTCCCCCGTCACTCTATTTTTTTGTAAAGTAATTGCTTTCACCCCCGTTGGTGACCTGGGTAGATTTAATCACACCATCTCCAGCCCTGGCCAACTGAATCAAATTGGTCAAATTAACAACGGCTCCACCGGAGAAGGCTTCACCTCTCCCTCTGTGTGCATGTCCTTTCACACACACAACACCGGCTCAGCTGTAGTCCTGCATGGCTCAGTTGGCACAGTGCACAGCTTACTAAGCTTAATTCTAGTTTTAGTTCCTGTTGAGCCTCAGTCCTTGCAGTACAACTGAGCCCTAATCGATTTCAGGTATTTCAGAGAATTAAACAAAAAGGGTGGAAGTAGAACATTATTATTGTTACCTTCATTGTGTGCACAGTATTTTAAGCTATACTGTCCACTACTTTGACTTAAATATTTTATTTATTGATGGTTCCATAGATGGTTCATCATTAGAATTGATTTTAAAATCCTTTTATTTGTTTTTAAAGCACTAAATGGGCTGGCTCCGGCCTATATAGCTGAACTGCTCCAGCGCTACACCCCAGCCAGAGCTTTAAGGTCTGCTGACCAGCTGCTGCTGGTAGTGCCCAAGACCAGGCTCAAAACCCGAGGGCACCGAGCCTTCGCAGCAGCTGGCCCTAGGCTCTGGAACACTCTGCCCCTCCTTGTGAGGTCGGCCCAGACCCTAGGGGTTTTTAAAACTAAACTAAAAACACACTTCTTCTCTCTGGCTTTCTAGTTAGAGCGGAGCACGACTCCTGACTTTTCCGTGTCTTTTATTTTTATTTTGTTTTTAAGATATATCTGTTGTAATTTATTGTCGTTTATTGTGATTTGTAGCAATGTGTTTTTATTACATGTACAGCACTTTGGCTCGACCAAAAATCGCTTTTAAATGTGCTATATAAATAAAACCTGATTTGATTTGATTTGATTTAGGTTAAAAATCTTGTAAAAAATACATTTAAAAGTAATGACATTTCCAAGAGCCTTCGCTTTACTTTGGGTTTAATGTGAATTAGCAAATGTTAGCATGCTAACACACGATACTAAGATGATGAGGATGGTCAACATTATTTTAATGGTTTGTGCCATTTGTACTTGGCAATCGTAAATCGGAGCTGCGAATGACGTCACAATGGAGTTTATCGCGTTCCAGTACACAAGTCTGAAAACCAAGAGCTAACAACGTTAGCTTTGGAGCCATTGTAAGCTAAAAACCCGTTGACATCAAACCATTACAAAATATTTTGGGGACCTCTGTGTCTGACAAAATAAATTAAGACATTACTACACATATAAAGTTAAAGTTGAATTCACAAGCCACTCTGTTGCTTAATTCAAACAACTTAATACACAGGAGCTTTGTGTTTTCATCCTTAGGCTACATAGTCTGGTCTGACTTGTAGCTTGTGGTGGCTAATACTAGCTTACTTTAGCAAACCTTAAATAGATATTGCTGTGTAACTGGTTTCACCGACTTTATAACTTAACAGTGGTTAAGTGTTTATCATTATCCTCTGACACTTTTTGCTACAGTTGGGCAAAAGTGACAAGTTCTCACTTTAAAGGGGACCTATCATGCAAAATGCACTTTTTTATGTCTTTTATACATAAATATGTGTCCCCGGTGTGTCAGGGAACTCACGCAGCGTCAGAAAATAAAACCCTCTCTCTCTTCCTCCGTACCCAAATCTCTAAAAACGGGGGTACAACGGAGCTGATCCAGAATTGCGGCCGATATGACGTAATATCGGCAGCGGACCCACGGCACTATCAGAAACATTGCTATCAGAAACAATGCCCGACTGTTTTAGACGTAATATGGTCAGTGTTTACATTAGCATCGCTAACACTCAGAGCTAACCTGTACTGGAGAGAGCATGTGTGTGAAGAAGCTGGAAATAAAAAGGAACTCACCTTGTGGTATAACCGGCAAGAGAGAAAGCCTTTGAGCTCCATGATATGGAGTTTAATCACGGCAGAATCTGCCGGTAGATCTAGCAGGCATAAGCTCCGCCCCTCTTTAAAAAAAAGCTTTATACATAAAATCTGCACTTTTGAAACAGGAAGTGAAATAGAGGGATATGAGGCATGGCTAGAATGGGTGATCTGTTTGGTATTTTGAGCAAAACACTTCATAGACATGTTTTTTATATATTTGTATATATCTGAGACCTATGCTATTGCCTAAAAATAGCATGGTAGGTGACCTTTAAAGCAACCATGATTTTTACTGATGTGCTTAGATATACTGTATTTAAAACTGAATTAAATGGACAAAAAACAAATAGCCTTGTTGAACATGGTGATAACAGCTCAAATAATAACATATTTAATCATAAAAAACATAATCATGAGTTATCACCTTTTTTATTCACGTGGCTTACTGTTTCAAACTTAGAACACATAGTTACACAAATGATGTGTGTGGATGCCTCCTCTGCCTGAAAAGATGCTCCAATGTGTACACACCAATGCCTTCGCTCCTCACATATGCGGGCAGTGTGAAAGTGGAGGCGGGAGAGCAAAGCTTCCCTTGTTTACCATAGCCGTCTGTCTTGTAAAGGCTTGCCAACATGCGGACGATACATTAACAATTTAAGGACATACATTTTGTTTTTGTTCTCTGTTTTAGATACAAGTGTTACAGTGACACTGCAGTAAACACATTATTTTAAATAGTTTTTGCCATGTTCCAGGTAAATGCTGGTATGACTAATATAGGAAAATAAGCTCACAGATCTAAAGATTAAAACAATAATGTGATTAATACCCTCATTCATTAGAACGGGATTACCTGTTCAAGTGACATATGGGAAATCTATAGTCACCATCCGGACTACACATTTCATATACAGCATGACTCATGGCAACACCAACATGCTATAAAAGGTAAATATCAGACAAACCTCTCTGGCTCATAAAGCACATTTTTAGAATGCTTTATTTAAACAGGGATCACTGCTTCTCATAAAGAAGATAAGCTGCTAAGAGTTAACCTTTCAATCAATCCTTTTAGCTGTCTTTTATAACAAAGGCCACGGACCTCCTGGGTGAAAGGATTGGTTGATCAGTTTGTAAGGAGTTTGTATTAGGGTACCATCTGACCTTTACAATATAATCAACACAATCCCTGAAATATAAAATACAATGCCAGGGAGTAAAAAGGGACATTATATTTATGGGCTTTTGCATTAATGTTGTTTAACTACTCTAGCATATTTTATATACTTTATCAAACCTGCGCTATCTTAACAAATGACAGCACAAGAGCCTTTTACAGTATCTGTCCAAAAAATTATATATTTACAGTTTAAGCTCTCAAGGAGATTAATCAGTTTGCAGGATGTTTTGGGGATTTTTGGTTCAATTTACTTTTGAAAAGTGAAAAATAACTAAATCAACAGATGAAATGAGTCAGAATATAAATAGGGAGTTTAGATTTTTTTTCAAAAGGGTGCCAAAATAGGAGAATGCTACCTTAAACCCTGATATTATAAATGTTTTGAAGCTGGATGTACATTCGGAGAGCACTGACCTGGTGATCTTGTCGGTGCAGGACATGGTGATGAGCTGCTCGCCCTGTAAGACCCCGTCCCACGTTTGGACGGGCCCCCGACCTCGCACCGGCACCGTCCCCTCTCCTGACTCGATTTTGGTCCGCAGGTGGCTGCGATGTTTTCTCAGGAGGTGTCTGCTGCTGTGAACTGCCAACGCAACACAAAGCCTGAGCTTCATCACTCTGCATTATGTCAGTCGCTATTACATGGCTTTGCTGGATACCCAATCTAATTAGCTATTAATGAAGCTGTTATTTCTAAATAACACAAAGTGTTTCAGATCTAATCACGTCAATAAGCACCCAAGATTGATTTTGTAGACTTCTGATCTAATTTACTGAAAATGCACCAGGTCACGTTTGTGATCTAAGATGGAACACTTTTCCAAATTTGCTCTTAATATATAACAGAAAATGATCCATTATGTGTTAAACTTTAGCTCTTAAGTGGTACATTCTCTGTATGATTAGGGATGTTTGCAGCTACTAATTATAAGAGTGCACGTTTAAATAGCTGCATGTAATTAGAAAACAAGGAATGTTTATCCAATATTGTGGTTATCCAATAAACATTAAAACAATACTATCATATATTTGGTAATACACTGGCACTGTTCTCAGCTGTGCAAAACATGCCATTTCCTTTACAAAGCAAAACGTTTAAATGAGGTTAATAGCTTAATTTAGGGAATTCAATGTATTATTTTGGGACCATTGACTGCCTAATTGTTAATGAAGTAAGCATTTTACTGGCTGTATGGAGGGAAGAAGGAGAAAGGAACCATTTTCCTGGATGAAGCAGTTTGGATGAACCTAGGAATGTTTATATTAGGCATGGTATGACAGACTATGGTTACCAACAGAGCAACTTCCTAACTTTTTAACCCTGTTAGTGAGAGCACAGGCCCTTAAACCATTTAAAAAACGTTCCTGTGTTTTTATGTGGGTGTACAAGCCAGCATGACCTCTACGGGCATTAAAATATGTTAATTAAAGTATACAGTATTCAAAAATAGTCTGCATAGTATTAAGTGGAAGGACCGTCATCTTTCAGGAAGAAGCGTTGTATAAATTATAGATATTGTTTTTCACGTTTTCAGTAAAATCCCAGTATGGATATCTCCCTAATAGGGTGACAGAGTCTACATAAATAATCACTGTTTTTGTTTTAATAACCTCTTATTTCTCAAGACTTAAACTCTCCTTCTCTCTTCCTCCATGCTTGCTTTGGCTGATGTGACAGCAGCTAAAAATTAAGCCCTGACTTTCGGCTCAGAAATGTTTTAGAACAGTCAGGAAAAGGTACTAAGTAATATTCTAATCTCCGAGAGCGCACTGCATAACATTTAAGAGGTTTAATGACCAAAAAACGTCAAGTTCAAAGGAATCTACAATGACAGCGTCTTTTTCTATCCTTACTGGTTCCATGAAAATCTCACCATGCACCGCACTGTAGCGTATGTTAAAAGAGCTGAAGGACATTTTCAGTTAATATTGAAAGGAGGGGGAGATAAAGTATATATATATATATATCTTTACATATACATTCTTCTGATGGGAACCTGAGTCCAGATTACATTTCAGAACTCATAGGCCACCAGACAAATGCTGGGAAAACCGTATAAATTAATATACAATTTATTTTCAGTGGGTGAGCAATAAAATGTCATCCAGTCAGCACAGCGTGGCTGAAAGAGGCGATAGAAGGGATGTGACATGAAAAGGATGCCAGCTTCTTGACAGTGTGTGGAGAAAAAAAGACCAGAGCAGTGGCTTTCAGAATATCCGCCAGAGAAAATGATCCCTCTATAAACCTGATGGACTATTATTGATTGCATTATATAAGTAAAACTATTATTGTAAAACCAAATCCAATAAAGGCCTGGTGTCTTACGATCAGAGGTGATTTCATAGGGCGAGTTCAGCCTCCCGTCTCCACACGGCGACGTGCTGATGTACATGTGGAAATGGATGTTGTCTCTCAACCTGTAGCCACACTCCTTGTGTCGCACAAATATCGACTCCTCCCAGTCTTCTGGTCTTTTACTTTAAGAGAAAAAGGCAAAAAATAAAAAACAAGTATGAGGGTGAGTGATGAGAAAGGTAGCACCATTCATCACAGCTATAGGACATAGATTTCCACTTTTCGTTTCCAATGATGAAGTGAGGCAGGGACACCGAGAGATGGACACTGACCACAGTCCATTCTCCTGCTGTCAGACAGACTCCTCAACATTACTCAGGCTGTCCAAATGTCTCAGGGCAAAGAGGGACAGTCAGTCAAACCTGGGGTCAATACATGCTTTGTATTTGAGTTGTAAAGTGTTGCAATGAAGGGCAACTAAAGAAACGTATGAGTACAAATGTAAAACAAACTTGCAAGAAAATTAGAAATATGTTAAGTGGTTTCACCGGCAGTATAAATAACTGTTAACAGTTTCATAGCTCATTGCTACCGGTTTGGAGTGTAACAAGTATTCCCTGCTGTAATGCATACCCTGCTTTATCGTCTATTTTAATGCAAATGGGACTATATTTTATAAAATAAAAAATCATGCTGTAATGAAGTATACTTGAAACCAGCTTTTGAGACCATAAACTCTTCAGGAAAATGTTTATAGAGGTGATAAATCAAGTGAATAGTAGGTCATTTTCTCATAGACTTACATACAATCTGACCAATGGAGTCGCCCCCTGCTGGCCATTGGAATACAAGTTAAGGGTATTGTCTTGTGAAAAGTGAGGCATACTGTGGTGGTACAGTCAGATGGTTTATTGATAAAATAATTAGGGTAACTTTTTAAGTTAAATCTGAAGAAAATAGTGTCCATACATTATTAATAAGTTGAATACTTGCAGTATGGGCAACTAGGTGACTTATACAAAAACTGGGTCATTGTTTCTGCTGTGAGCGGAGATAAGGCTTTCATCACTCAAACACACCAGGTACGTACTGTACACATAGTATATTTAAACTATGCATCACAATGCAAAGCACGGCTGCACTCTTTATATAACCTCTCCTCTGTCTCCGATGTCCTTTAACGGAGTGTAAATATGGCACTTCTGGCATTTTGTTTGGTCATTTAATTATGAGTTATCTTCCCCATTAGCCATTTTACTCAGCTGCAAAGTCTCCGTACCTGCCATCCAGCATTGTGCTAAGACAAAAAGTCAGTGCTGTGTATGCAAATATGACATTCAACGATCTAGACTTCTAGCCACTAATCTGATGAATCAGCCTTGCAATAGAGTTCCTCGGGGAGCTCAAAAACATAATATATGCTTACAGACTGGAGGGGAAACTAATGGAGACTGTTTCTTGATGCTGGTTTTTGTGAGTTTTTGTGCACTAAAGCATGCGGGTCATATACAAAGGTACAATATAAGAAGGCACAGTTTTAAAAAAGTGGTAAAAATAAATCCATTGAGATCATGAGGTGAACCACTTAAGTGTGAGTTGTTTGTTTGGTTAGCTAGAGGGAACAGCACACATATGGCTCGTTGATTATCGAAAAGTCTCTGGTGTACAAAGCAATGCTGTTTCCATGGAGCTTATTATAGAGGAGAGGGCATTCTTTGACACTGTAGTGGGAGGTCACAACATATTTAATGCTATTAAGTACACTGTAGTGCATCATGTAATGCATGTTAAAGTAGTTGGAGGCACCTTAGAAACTAAAATGTATGAAGCTTACACATAATGTTGGCAACAGTCTTACTTACTGACAGAAGTAGATATGCATTATCTGGTGGACTATAACAAAGTACATGTACTCAAGTTAAGGAAATTATACCTTTGCATTAGTGATAGTAAGAGTACAATTCTACAATAAACTGTATTTCAATGCAAGACTAAAAGGGGCAAATCAAATGCATTATTACGATTTTTTTCCCCTAGGTTCTAAGTCACAGGTGATATTGCAAATTCCAGTATTTTAGTATATACTTGAACTGATCCTTCAATTATAAACCAGCTTTCAATACTTTTTATCGACCAATTACAGAGAGCACCATTTCAGGAGATAAGGAATGCTACAGGTTTTTTCAAGTTGCCGAAATGTTAGTACACCTCTCTGATAATGTCCATTTGTATTTAAGATAGAGCAGAGATAAATGTGTTACCTTAAAAAGAGTTCAAGTTGAGAGTAGAGGAAGCGTAACAGTGCTCTGCGGGCCGTGACCTCAGCGTGACAGTCGTTGACCACCTGTCCCTGGTCGCTCAGATATTCCCCGTTGATACACTTGGTGCCCGTGGATAACGCCACCACCTGGGCGTGCCTCAGGTCCAGACCTGTCGAACAATATCAGACATATTTTCACCCTATTTTGCTACATTAGTCCAAGAGTTTGAAAGAAGCCCTCAGTGTCCTTCCTTTTCCAGACTAAGGAATGAAGTCTGGGATAAATAAGTGATTCATTTTCCATCGGTAGGGTCAGGCTCAATGTTCTTTCACACTCTGCACCTGTTCAAATGTAACACTTTTAGACATTGTCGGCTTGGCATATGGAATAAGTGAATATACATTTGTTATAATTGTGCAAAAAAATGTCAAGTCATTTCAAGTGAAGGAGCGTAAAATAAAATACAGGATATTATAAGAAATTCGAAGTCAAATGAAAATGAAACCCAACAAAATGCATCGATTAGCCTCAAAGTGTGGATGGCAGACTGAAGTTGGTCATACACAGCCAAACTGTTCCATTTGCTCACATAGTGAAATAATAAATATCAAAAAGAGGAGAACAGGGTAAAAAGGTCATTCCACACGACAATTTGGGGTTATTTCCATAACCACAGTTCTCCGAGTCATCATCTCTTCAGAAGCTCCTATCACACAGCACCAGCCAGGATTAGCTGGATCCACAAAGCGAGGGAGGGAAGAGACCCTCCGCCTATAAACTGGGCTGGCACCCCGCCTTCTTGTTCATAAAGTTCACCTCTTCACATTCAGCTGCACAATCGAGCGGGCCCAGTCTAAATCCAGGAATGTCAGAAGACCCTTCTGACTGTGCTGAAAAGAGCTACATATTGACATAGGCCTAGAAAACACAGCAAAGAAACACATAAAAGGAGGCTATCAGACCTGCTGTAGACCTGGAGGCAGATGGTCACTCTGGAGGACTTATTGCAGGATACATATTTTCTTTAAATAACATGGACCGTTTGGAATTGATGCCCTGAAAGTTTTCTTCAATACACCGTGATTTTGTAAATGATGTTCCTACAATAGAAGATTAATTGGGGTATGCTTAAGGTTGTTTCTGTCTTACAACTTTAACCCTTTCAAGGCAATTGTAGCATTTCAGTCATGTAAAAACAACAAAACAAAACGGTGCCAACGTCCACCTCTTATATTCAGTCTACGGTCTCATTCAATTATTTCTGGACAGCATGATAAAAGCTTCTAAAGAGGTCACTGTAGCAATATTCTCAATGTGAGACATGAAAAAAATGCTATGAGAGAGATCGCAGATAACAAAGCCATCCTGTCTCATGTTGGTTTTCCCTTGAGAAAAATATACTTTTCTCAGTGCAAGGCCATGTGAGAGTCCCACTGACTGACAGACAGACAGAGGTGGTGAAAGGGGGGGGGGGAGGCTGGATCAGCACGTTAACGGCATGCCATTCCTTCCTTGGCTGCCACAAATCTCTCTCATCGCCTCTGAAAGTCAGGCTTGGCTGGCTTCTGGCAGACCTGCAGGCATGGCCGGACGGGCACATGAGCTTTTATCAGCCTCGGCCCAGATGGCACTGCGGCGGTTAGAGTCCTGACACCTCCACTGATGAGGAATGGGAAGGAGGGAAGGGAGGAAAAAGTTATGGGAGGGGGAAGTGTGTGCGGTGTGGGCAGTTGAGGGAAAAAGAGAAAAGAGGAGAAGAATAAAAAGGTAGTCTAAGGTAGGGTGGAACAAGTTCAACTTTAACTCTAGAAACTACAGCGGAAATGTTCATATAATATTTGTCTTGTATTGTTTTTCAGTTTTTTTTATCAATGGGACATTTGGATCTTAATAGCAAGTAAACCTTACTGTCAAGTAACTTTGGATATTTCTTCGACACCCGGTGAATGTAAGGCCAATATTTACTCTAACTAGTAGGTATTATCTTGCTCTTTCGAGCTAAAGAAAAGGGTGATCATTATCTTTAGGCTCATCACTGCCAATGACATCTTTCACATTCCATTGTTGGTAATAAAATATTGATTATTGCAGCTTTAAAATATATTATTCTATTTGAAGTTGGTTTCAATGGTTGAGACTGATGTGTTTGCGAACATAATACTGTATCCATCATTTTGAGGAGAAATTATATACCTATACCCTATATAAAAGACTAGCAGTAGGAATGTTAAGAGCTTTGTTTTCTTGACTTAGATATATCCTTTTTTATATATAAAATGATTAACATACCTAAAAGAAACAACTGACAGTGAGTATAGAAAAGGTCTTGTTAATAATAACAGTTCATGCTGACTATTCCTCTTGTGAGATGATCATTTGTATGATCACTTAAAACATATTTTAGTACCTTTCGTTTAACTATCATGGTGGAATAGTAAATTAAGGTTACACATACTAGAAAACTACTATTGGCATTCCCTATAAGCAGTGCGCCCCAATTCAGCCAGTTCTAAAAAGGTAACAGACTCAAACAATTTCATTCTCTTGCTTTTCCTTGCCGTTCCACTTCTCGATTGTTTAGATCAATTTTGCAGTGGATAATTTCTGCTGCGCTGCTCACTACCCTGCCATGAAATTGGCACCGAGGTTGCCTTCATTTTGCGGGAGTGAGGAGAGGAGGAGGATAGATGAATGAGAGAGAGAGGAAGAGAGGGGTAGATGGAGAGCCCCACAGGCAGTGTGCCGTTTTTAAACCAGGAATAATCAGCTGCATCACACAGAAATACAAAAAGAGAGGGTCAAAAGGAACAAGGTAGAGTGGAGTCAAAGGCCTGAGGCACTCTTCACACACAAATACATCTGTTACTGGTGATTCAAAGATGTCACACCCCAGGATAACAGCACTGTCAAAAAGCATGTTCATCACAGACTGAAACTACTCACTATGGCAACTGCACTATACTGTTCTGTGCTCAGTACTGTCAAGGGCCTTAAACAGGAAGACAAAGCACACACTGCCTCACTATGGCAACCGAGGAGGTAAACACACCTTGTACAGCAAATGTAACAGAGGCGCAGGTATTTATCTACACTGTATTTTGATGACTGCTCGTGCACATAGTGGGAAAGTGAGGTAGGAAGAGTGTAAACACAGAAGTCAGAGTAAAATGCACCCATATTCAGACTGACATGCAAAAATACAATGATATTCAAGATACTTTTTAGGCTTAGTTGGATGGTTTAACGAGTGCTTTTGTATAGACGTACAGCTTTAAAAAAGGGAAGGGAGGTTATTTTTGGTCAACAGTTATGACAATGTGTTTTTCCCCTGCTTCCAACTATGTCAAAAAACGTTGCCCTGCACGCCTGCTCTAAAGGATATTGATTGGCCCCTGTGCCATGGGCCAGTGAGTCAGGAAAACAGAGCCTAAAGTCTTCTTTAACACAGCACCACATCACTGTCTCAGGTTTTTTTTAAGACAAAGGTCAAACTGGAAATATTTTTGCTGAACCACTTTTTCTTTTCTCACTTGAGTGGAACCATCTTTGGGCTACAGCATGTTCAGTATCACTTCTGTGTTTCTACTTAATGTTGCATGAATTCCCCCACACTACACTGGTTCTCCACATGCTCTGTCTGCATGTTGGCAATAGGCCTCTCACCACCAGACTGCTTTATTTCAAACATTGGAAAGCTTGAGAGCTCCAGAATACTATAATCAAAGCAATAATTATAACACTTTTCACAGCCTGAATAGTATGTTAATTATTACGTTTGACATGAACAGTATTAATGCTAAGGACATCAATTATCCACACTTGGCTTTAACTACAAATAGACAGGAATCCCAAAATAATAATGTAGAAAGTCTTCCACAGTAGTAGTCCTCATGAGTGTGATCCAACTATTTAGTATCAGTGGGCAGCAAAATGCAGTGCCTCTGGAACAGGTCTCGTGGGAAGAAACTAAGTACAACTACTCAAGTTCTAGTATACTACTCAGGTACTTGTACTTTAAATGAGTATTTTGATGTATGTTGTCCACTACATTTCTTATGCCAAATAATGTACTTTACTGTTTTTTGTCGCATTCATTTGAAAACCACTTGTTTCGGCACACCAGTTCTCTTACTGTAGCGAGTCATTTATGTCTACTAACAATATTTCTACTCCTGGTTTTATATATGCTTGAGGTTAATGTTATGTTTTAGCACAGAAATCCCTTATAATGTGTCCCTCTTAACATTTAAACACTTATTTCTTCCTAGTTTTAAATCCATAATACTTGTAGGCGTCAATAAGTAATTAATACTAATCAAGGACAAATTGTTAAAAAAGATTTACTGGCAGCCATTGTTAGGAGAAACTAGTGTACTCAGATGGAAACATTCCTATGAATGACATGACCATGAACTTTACAGTGATTTTTTAATTAATAAGGCAACTGAAACTGGCAGAGACTGCAAAGCTGCTATGTGAATCCCTTTATTCTCTGTGTTTATAAAACAAGGGAAACGTTTCCCTATTAGCTACCAATTATCTCTGAGCACCATAAAGCTCATATTAAAACCATTTATCCTAAAGCAAGATGAGCTTCCAAGGTCAGCTTTCAGTTACAGTAACTACAATTCTGAATGTCAATTCTGAATGTCAAGCTTAATAAATCCTGTCTTTATTTTGTTCTTTCATCACTAGATGTGAGACGATTACGGTCAGTGTCTGTCAACCAAAGTTTGTTGTTTGAATAACAGTAGATAGTCAGATGGTACAAACAAAAAAAACCTGGCAAGAGAAGAGACGGCACCCTGTTGAATGTTTATTAGCTTTAACAAGCAACTGTGCTGCACACATAACGGTGGCTTTGTGGAAAGCTGCTGAAGCTCTCAAATCTCTCTCTGCTGCAACCCACCCTGCACACATCTCTGCCGTTTTTTTTTTGTGGCCTCTTAGCAAGCTGTTTTGTAGCTGGATGCGATTACTGAACGTTAAAATTTGCAGCAGCCGGAAAGCCAGATAAAGAGTGGAGAAAAATCCCTGTTTGAAAATGGATATGCAGGCTAAGAAGCGTAGCTTAAGCATCATTTGTAATCAACTTGTTTGAAACCCTTTCTCTCATCTCTTTCTTTGAGTCCCTGTGGTATTTTTCCCCACTTGGAGTCTCATCACCCTGCTGAATAAAAAGCCTCAGAAGAAGTTCCTCTTATCTCATCCTACAAACAAGTAAAAAGGAGTAATGGGGGGGGTCTTTTTTTCCATGTCTCTGAGCACATCTGAACCCTGTTTACCATCTCCTCACACCCACTGCTGTCTCCGATCGATTCAGATGAGATTTTCCACACTATTTGACAATGTGTGCTGGTGGTTTACTTTGGCGGTCATGTTGCAACTCTCAGCCTGGTGGCGAGGCTAATCTCACTCAGGTTTGGGCTCAACTGTCTCGGTGGGACTCCAGCAAAGGGTGGAGAGGGGGGATCGCAGTCTGTCTCCAGTTCAAAGACAGACCCTGATTAATATTCTTCAGGCAGAAGCAGAGGCCTGAGACACAGGGAGGGAGAGGGAACAGGACTCCCCAGTGTTCCTGTCAAGTTGGGTGTCTGACTGCGCGGACGCTGGCCACCACACCGCTGCCGCCTCGCTGCAAATACTTGGCAGCGCTACGTCTGGATCACTGAAGATAACGTGTGCTATTAATAAACAAACAGAAGCAATTACTGGGAGGCAGAGGAGAGGGATTGGATTAGGTCAGGACGAGCGCCGGTCTCACTGAAGTCTAAACTGATGAGCTGCAGCACTCCAAAGACAGCAGAGATACCAATGCCTCCTCACTGACCCCAGCTATCCCCCCCCACCCAAAGCCTGCAGCCTCACAGGGAGATAACACTCCTCTGTGTGTGTGTATGGATTTGTGTGTGGTAGGACTCCACATGTGCAGACCTGTTGGCATTTGTGTGGGTGGGTGTGCTCTAGGGCTGCAACATTTGGAAAAAACAGGACTAAATGCATTTATTTTGACTAATATTGCAAATATGATAATTCACATTATCATAATAAATTATGTAAAACATTTACATGGTGGGACTTTTTTAAGAGGATGTTCTTTTTAGACTGTAGTCTACTGTAACACTCTACAGGAAAACAAAAGTTTGTTCAGAATTATATTTGAATTTATTCTGCCCTTACCTAATATTGGGATTGTGCACCCCTAGTATGGTCATTGCTATGTTAAAGCCTACAAAGATGACTTACATTTTGCAAATTCACACTATATCGGTTTTATGTCTAACCTGGCTGCTTTCCATGTGTACTTGAGTTTGTTATGTGTTCCCACATTTCTCAGGGTTAAGGTGATTTTACAAACAACAAGATGGTTATGTTTTTAGTTTTGTTAGTTTGTCTTTTTCTCTGTTTGTCAGCAGGGTTATGTTAACATTACTATCCACATTTTCATCAAACTTGTGGAATGGTGCAGCATAGTCCGAGGAATAACTCAGTGCATGTTGGTTCGTATCCGAACCACCGGGCAGATACATGCATTATTTTCCACATGTATTTTGGAATATGCCAAATGTTGGGAAGGGTAAGCATATATTTCTGCTGTTGGTCTGGTAGCTAGCATACTTCAGAGATTGTTTTTTATGCATTAGGAATTGTATTTCTGTTATTATGATATTATAATTTATTAGATTTCAATGAGTGGAGACTGTCTTCTTCTTCAAAATGTGCTCATTTAAAAGCAATTCTGCAGGGTGAACACATGGTACATACATCGGCAAGATTTTACTTTTCCAGGGCTAGTTGCTCCAGTTTTCTACAGCCAACAAGGGCTAAATGTCTGCAAAACAAAATGTTAACTTCAATCGTTCAGCGGTGTTTCACAAGCAGCAGATTGAGAAAAACATGACAGCTTGTTTCATAAACATTTCATGGCAGACATTCCTGGGTTTAATGCTTCTAGTCTGCGTGTGTTGATATGTGCATTTGTGAATGATGTAATGTGCGATAAACACCACACATGAAAGATAAATGCATAGTCATAACTCATAGTGTCATGCTGCAGGTGAACAGCTTCCCCCTCTTCACTGTTCCTTCAGCGTGTCACTCGGTCGGGTTTCAGATTAAGTTTTAAAATGATCTAGTTAAGGTTTCCACTGTGGCTTCTGGAAGCCTTGTCAAATGTGCCTGAGTCCAGCGAGTCCAGCATGCAGTAGGGATGACTGACACTCACCACCATGTCTCATTCTCCTCAGAGACTCTGAATAGTCAATAATTCATCAGGAGGGTATATTCTCCTGCACAAGCGCAAGGTACAGCATGGAGTGGCCCTTCCTCAGTTTATCATTTCTCTCTCAATCCAGAATTCCCATTTCTAGTCATCTCTTTCTATCTTTTTACCTCCCTCATTCGCTCTGCCTATATTGCAACACTTCAATAATTCAAAGTGATATATAAAAGTCAATGAAATTTGCCATACCTCGGGTCATTACGATGCCTGCCAGGGATTTGTGGCGAGCGTGCGCAGGACTGCAGCCGCCCACCAGGGACCGGTACTTCTCCCTCACCAAGTGGAATATTGAATCGGCAAAGTCCTGAAAAACACAAAGGCCCTCTTAAGTTTTACTCGACACACTGTATGGAGGCTGACTTCACAGGTTTCATTTGACTATATAATATTCCACTTCTCTCTCAGAAAAAAGAGATTAAGGTTATAGTCAAGGCAGCTGGCCAAATGCCAACAAAAACACACACATATTACTATTACACACATGAAAAATAACATACAATTGAGCCAATATTAGTGTAGGAACTATTTGAGGTGAGGAAGTCATGTAATCCTTTGACTGTCTGCCATTGGGAGACTTTTCTTTTCGTACAGAGGAAGTAAACACCCAGGTTTCTTATTGTACAGCCATATGCCAACACAGCTCTGCCATCTTCTATGTTCAGTTCAAGTCAGTCTTATGTGTATAGCAATTATACATTATGTCAAAGGAATTAACAACATATGTGCTTTAAGTCTATTTGTGCAAAGCAACAACCTGTAGGATTTAATACCAAGTTGACCAAATGTGACACAATATAAAATGCTAACTGATTTGGATATCTTGATTTCTTCACCACATCTGTCCCACCAAACCAACAATACTCGAAGACATATTGATCACATCAACCACTTCCCCTAACTGTTAATGTGTTTTCTTCCAGTGGTAGTTAAGGGCTTAGCTTCAGATCGGCCTTCACGCTAACGGTAGCATCGTGGGCCCTTTTGGACAGATTGAGCCCCCAGTAGCTAAAAGGACATCAACAGATGCCACGGTGACGAACGCAGAGAGTAAGCGAGAAGGAGAGAGATTAAGGATGAAAATCTGTATGGGTGACTGAATTAGTGAGCATATTGCTCATTATGGCCCTCGTCAGGGCTGTGAAATACTCACAGTGAGAACTGATGGTACAAGAGCTCACAGCTTGTGGTGTTTGTGTCCATGTGTATGTACGCTCATATTGCTGCTCTGATGATGTCAGCCTGAAGCTTTTCAGGGGGGATAGAAAAGAAAAGAAATGGAAGAAAAGTCAAGAGTGGATAACTTTTTGGCTCTTTGATTCAAGAGTTGTCATGACCTCTCATCAAGCTCTATAACGGTCGCATGACAGGTCGCTTCTGAGATGAGTGTACGTCCCTTTAACAAGAGGCAAGAGCGACAGGAAGAAAGGAAAGTTGTTTACTTTATGCTTGAATAATCAATCCAGTCAAAGACCCTGTTTGTCAAGCCCTTAGTCAGAGCAGCTCATGTTGCGGTGACAGGAATGAATAACCAGAACGGCTGAATTCTCTACATAAATTCAGTGTGACCAAGGACTCTAAGAAGTCAATATATATTACCAAGGTATTCACCCTTTGCAAAAGGTCAGGTATAATATACAATTGTTGAAGTACAGGCTATTCTAAAGACCTAATCTGAAATACTTTGTCACAACAGTGATTCAGAAGATAAAAGGTTGCTGCATATTGACTCTTTTCAACGTGTTGATTATCATTGTTTTTGGAGTGTTTGAAGTATTTTTCGAAAAGGTTTGTCCTAGATTTCAGACAGGGATAAACAAAGATTTTTTTTTATAGTCAGTTCCAAATGTGTTACTTTAGTCTTTTTTGCTACATTTTTAGAAATGGTCTCAGTTCATCTAGCAAATATGTATACAATATTTGCTTTGCCATGCTTTTTGCTTTTATTTAATTTTAAAACAAATATCCTTGGACTGTTGACAAACCAAAACAGATTTGAGTGAAAAAGAATTACTAATACTTTTTAAATAATCCTTAGTTGCAGCCATGTTGTACATTTATTTTATGTTGGGTCATTGAACATTTTGACACTAACACCAAAGTTGCTGCCAAAATCAATGAATTATATATTTGTATATCCTTTTGACCTAAATATCCATCCCCGATAGTCAAGCCTTCCATGAAGATAGAAAAAACACACTTGTTTTGAAGTATTGATCAGCCTGGAATGTGGAATTTGCTGGTTATGTCGAAACACCTCTTACACAAATGTGAAAAAACACCCGCCTTGTTCCCTGTACCTGAAAGGGACAACCAATTAATTCTAACAGATTCCGGCTCGGCTTGGCAGCGTCGGTCACAGTCTGAACCCCGAGTCAAGTCCTCCATCCCTCCTAAAGGCCTTTTCATTGATGACATTACAGAGGTGAGAGAAGGTGGCAGCTCAGAAAGGCCTGCAGAGCAAAGGTGGAATAGACCCTGGCATGCGGCCCAGCTTTATGTGCCTCCACCCCGTTTCCTCCCCCTTTTGTTCTCCCTCTTCTATTCCCTTTCATCTCTCTTTGTCAATGCCTCTTATTTTCTTCCCATCTTTTTTGAAAGTATGACTCTTCAGGTCTCGCCTTTTATTCGTCCCTTAGCTTCCTTCCCCCCTCTCTCATGCTGATATGTGATAGAGGGCAGTGATGTGCCAGGACTAAGTCAAAGCTAATACTTTCCTCATCCTGTGTGGGAGTGGGGAAACAACATAATCTACATCAACTGACACAAAATAAAATAGTCTGTGATTTCCAGCTGTGGTTCACTTCTTAACAAAATAACTCCTTTCCTGGTTTATATCAGCTTAAACACGTAGATCTGCCTGTACTGTCATTCCTCATGTTGTCCCCTATCATTTCTCTTAACACACACACTGCTTTCCTCAGCGGGGGGTGTTGAGTGCCACCTTCAGTGTGGGCCTAATGTGGCATAAAAACGGGGCCAAGGATCTCGCTCCTCAGTCAGACAGAACATCAGGGCGGGCTGCCACACAGCGAGAGGAAGCTTCTTCATGGATGAGCATCAACGTTGCTCTATATAGCTACATTTTGGAATTTGTTTTACGAAATCTGTTTCAGGTTACTGATGGAGGCTCTCCTGGGAGTACAGGGACTGGTTGGAGCAGAAACTGCCGTGGAGGCTGTTGTGTTGCTAACCCCACCTGGTGCCTCTTCCTGCATTAGTTATGACCAATTTACTAAGCAGTTCCTCTGGGCCTCCTCAGGGTGGAGAAAACAAGCAGCAGCAGTAACTACAGCTGCAACGGATGAGATTTATTGCAGCAATAGACACATTAGCGTTAATAAAGAAGAGGTGTTGTAAGATCCACTGCCAAATGACCCCGTTGACTCTTTGTCTTTTCATGCATCCTAGGCAGATAGGATGGCCATTTGAAGTCAAAGTGTAATGATGTGTAAAATCAACCAAGAACCAACCAACACAGGTTGAAATCAAATTAAGCCAATGGTAAACGAATATTGCATTTCCAAAACACAAACCTATTTTTGAATCCAAGTATAGCTTTGTCAGTGAGTGCTCTCAGGGTCTGAGCCCTATGATGAGGGAATCTCATTTCACAAAAAAACTACACTGAAACTACCAATCATTCTCCTCCCACTTAATTCCTGGTGGAGAAAAAACATGGACAGCAACAAATGTTCATTGCCCAATTTTCCCCCGAGGAAAATATGTTTAACATTTTTTTTTAAAGCACCTTACAGTTACATTTCACTGTTAAGAGAATACAAGTGTCGAATTACAGCCTTAATCATGCCATAAGGACAGTGAAACAAGCTACTTAACAGTGAAATTAAGGACATTAGTATAGCATTTGGAGTCATGTTTCTTGCCACCTGATGAATGTAGGTCCTATATTGACTCTCCTTTTAGCGCAGTGTTCTTTGTCTGAAAAAACTGTTGAGGAAAGTATCTAAGCTACTAAATGATTTTCAACATCAGCAACTTAATAGCTTACTGTGTATCCCTGCTGTTATGTTCTGGACTCTATTACAGTACAGTTTAAAAAAAGAAACTACTAAAAACAGTTACCTGCTGGGGCTGAATAAGACGCTATGAGTGGTAAGCCTAAGGTTCGTCAATACGAGGGACTTTTTTCGAATACATGTAGTCATGATTTACTGACAGTCAATAAAGGAATATTGATTTATATTTCACCTGATAGGCTCAGAGTAAATTGCGTTTGTTTGCTTGAATTAAAAGGGGAACCAGTGTGATTTTGGTGAGATGATGACCACGCTGGCCAATGTAACAGAGGGGGTGCAAACAAACATGATGAGGATTTCTAAATGTATGCCTGGCCTATTTTGCTCATCTGTCCGTTTTTTTTTTAATCGGTCCATTACATCCATCCACCCCTCCCTCACCTTCCCTCTCTCCTACTCCCCAACTGTTTGTGCACGTAAACAGTTCGGCATCTATCTCGAAGGTAATGTGGAATGTCACCAACAATCCTCCTGCTGCCTTTCCTCTGAAGTCAATATTGTGCCAGAAACACAAAATGTCAACGGGGAAATGTTCTCTGCTGTGGCCTGACCTAGAAGTCTGTGCATGCTGGTCGTGGTGATGGTATGAGTGTGTATGTGTGTGTGTTGTGAGGAAAGGCTCAATTGTATAATTTATTGTTTAGCACTAAGGCCCCTAAGGGAAACGATGACTGGAGATTCATTCGTGATTCCATTTTAGGGCCCTCCATAACATTCCCCATATGCTTCAGTTTAATTTGGTGAAGCATGGGAGTGTGATGTGAGGCAGCCATGTTTAATGTGTGTGTTTATGAACAACACTGCTCGTGTTAGAGTGGCATGGGGATGGATATGGTCTTGATTTTACCCCGCCCTCAGGAAAACACACACATGCCACCACCCTCACCGCCTTATCACCCGCCTGCAGAGCGGCCCAGGCAGCATAAAAACCAGGCCATGTCTTATATTTCTTTATAGAGGTATTTAACAATTCATTCTCCCGAGTTTTAATAGTGTCTGCCCTCTGCCTGGATATCTCCCCCCCCCCCTGTACCCCACCACCACCCTTCCCCGCCTGCCGCCAAGCACAAGCCTTTTGAAAATGGATATCTATTCATTTAGTGGAAGCGTTGCCTCTGGGGGCTTTTTAGATTCTCAAAAAGCCAGACTCCTTGCGGCGAGACAGATTTCCCTCTGTTTGTTCTCCATATGACACGTAGCATCACTCTCACTCATGAATCTTCAGCTTCTTCTCTCTGTCCTCCAGATCAGTATCACAAGAGGAAAA